AGATACATGCACACTTATGTTCGTCGCAACACTATTACAATAGCAAAAAGATGGAAACAACCTACATGCCCATCAGTGGAAGAGTGGATGACCAAACTATGGCACATACACATAATGGAATGCTATGCAGCACTAAAGAATAATGTAGAATCTGCAAAACACTGCATAATATGGATGAACTTGGAGGACATTATGCTGAGTGAAATAAGTCAATCCCAAAAGGACAAATATAGTATTAGTTCGTTGTTGTGGAGGGTCTAGGAAAGGTTTATATATGGAGGGAAATTTTCTTTGTTCGTTGCCAGGGGCAGGAGGGAAGGGAAGGGAACACTGCAAAAAAAAAAAAAAAAAAAAAAAGCATTGAGCCATGTCACTTTAGTTTTGTGTATTTTACTGTACATAAATTATATTTCAATAAAAGGTGTTAAAAAAAAACTAGAATTACAATCCATAAATCCTAAGGTGTTGTAGTATTTTAACAAGACTACTTTCTCAGCACATGACATTACTAATAAAACAGAGTATTTTATGGTGGGATTGAGGGAAATGGGAGAGAGAAACAAGCAACTTTAGAGCATGAGGTCCTCATGAGAGGGCTGCCCCTGGGTTTGATGCCACAAAGGGCATTTTGGAGGGCTGGAGATTAAAAGTGGAAGATGATCCATTCAGGGTATAAGAAGACAACAGTAGAACTTTTTTTTAAAGAAAAATCTAAAAATGTAAGAAAGAAATTAAGCTTTACTAATATTTATAAATAGCGCTTCTATTAGGTGAGGGCCACATATCATGCATGGCTCCAATGGCTGACTAAGCCTCCTTAGTTGATACATCACAGAAGAAGCACCCTCATTTTTTTTTTTTTTTTGTCTTCAGAATATTCTTGGCATACAGCAGAGTGCTTGTTATGGGATGTCATCATTGTGGTTCATTTTATAAAGACAGAGCTTAAATAATATAAATTTGCAACACTCCACAATGAGGGTGGAGAGGGGGGTGACCTTGAGAGTCTTGTCCTACACAGAGGTTTGTTCTTCATCTCTTAGCAAATAATTAAAAGAGTTGTGAAACTTCAAGATAAATTTTTCTTTTACAAAAAGACCTTTACGAAGAGCCCCAATTTTGCTCACCTTTTTAGTGGTGTGGAAGTCTGCCAGTGTTTCTGTATAGCAGATGCATGTATATGCAGTCTGTTCCTTCAGAATGAAAGGTAGTACTTAAAAAATGAGCAAGAAATAACTGCTTTTTGTAAATAGTCCTGTTGGGAAGAGAACATTTTACGAAGGGATATTTGGAAATGATTGGATCATTATGAGATCTTTTTCTGTCCAAAATGATATGCCACCTATAAAAACTCTCATATTGCAAAACAAGGTTTTCTAGCCCATTTTAAAATTTCCCAAATGAAATTTCCCTCCATCCCACCATTAGATGCTCTATTTTATTAGTAATGTCATGTGCTGAGAAAGTAGTCTTGTTAAAATATTACAACATCTTAGGATTTATGGATTGTGATCCCATTTGGAATACTCACTTTGTAAGCTGTGGTTTCCTCTCTGAGCACTTTATTCTCATTCTCAAACTCCCAAACCCATTTATTTGAAAGACAAGAACACAATATTTCACAATTACTTTGTGAAACTGATGGACAACTAACTAATGGACAAGAGAAGTTGAAACGTCATAGTTAAATTTGAGTGGAAACTTTTGTATAGGAGTTAATTGGGATTGAGGAAGAGGCATCATGATGTAGAAAGCTCAGTCAATAGTGCACAGCTCCCATTGGGATTTATGTATCATTGAGAGGTATCTTTTTCAACTAAGACAGTCATTAAAACCAGTCCCAATAAAATAAACCTAGAATTAGGTCCTCAAGTTGCTATGTTAATCCAATATTAAAAAATAATAACAATGAAGATATCAATTACATACAAAAACAAACAAACAAACAAACAAACACTGCCATCAAGTCGGATGAGACTCATAGTGACCCATCTTTCGTTTCTGAGGCAGTATCATTACGGAAGTAGATTGCCTAACCTTCCTTCTGAGGAGTGGCTGGTGGGTTTGAACTGCTAGCCTCTGGTTAGCAGTGAAATGCCTTAGGCAGTATGCCACCAGGGCTCCTATCAATTGCATAGCTGTTGCTAAAATATTATTAATAATATTAACATTCAAAACCTTTTCTACATAGTAACTAAAATAATTATTTTAAATATTTCATTCACTTCACATTATTTTTGTATGTTTTATGATCTCCATTGATACAGTAATACGTATTTATATATAACGTATAAATAAGGAAATACACATATTTTGGAAGATACGCTCAAAATATTTTTATTAGAAGTGAGTTCATGGATAAAAGACTTGGAGCCACTAGGATAGAGGATGATTTGAGGTCACTTCATGGACATTTTGAGTGGGGAATAAAGACTCCTGAAGGAGTGGGAAGGATTATTTAAGCAATACTGAGAGCACTAGTTTCAGTATCCATTGATGACTTTCTAAATCATTCCTTTCATATTTATTAATGGTCAAAGTATTATAAGGAAGAACTTTGCCTTCTCTTACATTTATTTGCTTTTTCATTTATTTATATCAACAAGAAATCATAAAGTCTTATTTTATTCCAAGGGTTGTACTTCTTAATTATTATGGATGCCTCTGTTTCATCTTCCGTCTTTTATCTTCTCTACCAACTGTAATAATTTTCTTTCTTCAAGTCAAAGATAATCCCTTTCCTATAGAGCACTTTTATGAAGCTTCTAAGAAATCTTCCCCATTTCTTAGTTCCCATAGGTCTTATGCATTTCACCATATGGTCTGGCAAAGAATCATATGTTTTTGATTTAGTTGTTTCATGAATGAATATTTCATGACCTCAATCAGACTGTAAAATTCTGAAGGATGAGAACAATGTTTTCTTCTTCAAACTTCTCATTTAATATGTTTTTGTTGAAGAAGAGAAACACATTGTATCCTTCTTATGTCTAGTGTCATGAGGGTAGCATATAAATTAGCAATAAATACCATGCAAGATGTTACATTTAAAGAACTTAAAATAAAGCATGACTGTAGTTAACCCCAATTTAAAGCACAGATTAAAAGACAAACATCAGATGACAAAAAGGGAAAGTACAAAGAAATAAATGTTTTTTATGCCTGACTGAGAAAATTGAGCCAACAACTTACATCTGGCTGTCCTAGCAACAAGGAAAAGAAGCTAGTATGAAATGTTCAGTAGAAACGGGCATGCATTTCAGTAGAGACCAACGTTTCCTTGATTAAATATTCCTAAGAGTTTTTCCCTAAACAAAGTATATTGCACTAAATGTCATGAGTAACAGTTTTACAAAAATGAATCCATGTAACTCATTTGGATGAAAGAACATTAAATGATAATTCTTGGGTGGAGAAGAAGAGAATTGATGTAGTGTAGATATATAATATAGTTTTCTGGTGGTCTGGTTTAACACAGGTAAAAAGTTGGAGGCTCTTGAGACGTGTATGTTGAACAGAACCCTAGGCCAGTGCTCATGAATATCAGTTTGTTCAACCAACAGGAGATATGGATATGGAAGACAAAATTGGGGTCACTATCAAATACCCACAGGCCAGACATTCTCTGTATTGAACCAGAAAAGTTCATATTCATGTTCGATCCAAGCACGTAAAAGGAGAAGGGGATGTTTGACCATGTTTGACTGCTGGTTCCATCTTAATGACACCTCATCTCTACTTCTGCATGGAGCTGTACTACAGGAGGACCTATAAACTGGGCCAGAAATTTTTCTCAAAAAATAGCTGTGCATCTGTCCAAATGTTTGCACAGGTGCTCAGTAGAAACCCCATGGTGCTGATCTGGTCCAGAGAATGCATGGATGAACTTTGATGGGGTGTTTTGCATTCAAGAGAACCAAATGCCTACCACTACCTTAGAAGAAGGAGCTCTGGTAGCATAGTGGCTAAAGCACTTGACTGCTAACCAGAAGGCTGGCAGTTCAAACCCACCAGCCGCTCCTCGGAAGGAAGGTTGGGCAATCCTACCGCCGTAGTGATACTGCCTCGGAAACCCAAGGAGGGGTCGCTATGAGTCGGGGCTGACTCGACGGCACATAACAACAACAACAACAACACCCTAGAAGAACCTTAGAAATACTCCTTAACAGATACTGTTTTGGATAGATTTTGTTCTGATGGGCTTTCAGAATAAATTAGCTGGACATGAGACCCCAGATACTTAATTGAGAGAACCTGCTTCATAAAATTGCTTAGAATTCTTTATCTGAATACCACATTGTATCTGTCAGAGGTGATCAAAGGGCTGTTAGCATAGGTAATATTTAGAATTTTCCTGACAGTAATTAATCAGTAATTATCCAACAAATACTTAAGGAGTGTCAACTATGTGCTCATCAACAGATTAAACTTCAACAGAAGTCTGCTCACCAATTCAGCAATGTCTAATTCCCAGGAAATTTGTAACTCTTGAATTTTAAAATCTCAGGAAGGGGAACAGGAGGGCTGCTCCCTTCAAGGGAATGGTGGGGAGTAGGTCAAGGAAAGCCCTTTGCTAGTCCATGGGTCCGTATTCTTAAGGGAACATACACATACACATGATTTGTTGGTTTGAGTCCACTTTGTACGTGGACACCATAGGACCTATATTCATAAATCTTCCACCTAAGTATCTCATTTCTGAATTTTCCAAACAATCCTTTCCCTCGTAACTTTTAGGGACTTAGTGTGTCATTGCCTAGCTCTCACTTAACATATATGGAATCTTAACATACATGGAATCAAATTGGTTCATATAGTTCTCTCATGAGTCTTATGCACTAGTGTGTTTAAACTGGTGCCAGTGTGTTCTCATTCCAAAAGACTGGCCAGGGTATCTCAGTTTCTTGCCAATAATAAATTACTGCTTAACAGATAAACTATCAAACATTTGAGAATGTTAATTTTTTTTTTTCTGTATTTAATTTCCCTTCATTTTCAAGGCAGGTTTAACAACTTACTTCCATCCGGGAATAAACTTGAAGAAAATACATTATGATAGCATCAAACTTTATGAAAAGCTGGAAAAAGAAACTGGACAGGTAAATGAGTTTAACTTGAAATTGCCTAATGGACCAATCTCTCAGAAATATGTAAGATTTCTAAAAGATTTTGACTTATCTTATGTAGCTACGTGTAGTAACATCAATAGTGTACAGATCTGATGAGAGTTTGATGTGAGAACCTTTAGAGTTTGCTTTAAATCAATTTAATTTCTTGAAGTGTATTATCTGTGTAACTTATAATTTTGACCGATTTATTTTTTAAATGAAGAAAAATAAAAAGCAGCATAAGAAAAAAAATCTTTAGCCCGTTACTCTATCTGGACTCTAAGAAACAGAGCCTTTCAGCAGTGAGATTGTAAGGGATCTGACAATGGTGCATGCCAGATTGTCACACAGCTTTGAGAAGTGCTTCACTTCAAGCCCCTCGTGTTTATTTTTATCCCTTCTCATATTCACTGCTGCTCTCAAAATAAAGTGGCAGAGACTATCCATAGGCTAAGGCTGAAGCCTGTTTAAATTTTTCATGCTATTCTCCTTGCCTAAAACCATCAAATAGCTCCTCACAGTCTATAGGATAAAGGCCAAAGGATTAGCTTGACCATTATCAGCTGACCCCTGCCTGCCTTTCCAACATTTTCTCTTGCAACTCTTCAATGTGCTCATTACCATTCAGCCATTCTCAAGGATTTATAGCTCTGAAATCTGCTGGGCTCTCTCACATTTTGTTTTTGTTTGTTTTGTTTTCTGTCTCTTTTATGCTGCTTCCTCTGCCTAAGACAACATCCCCTTGGGTTTCCACCTTCAGCATTCTCCTTCTACCATCTCTTGGGAGTTACCCCTTTGAGAAGCCTTTCTTGATCTTCAGAACTGGGTGGTGCATCTCCTGGTTCTAAGACCATCTTGTGCACATTCATTTTATAATCCTTCTCTTTATTGTAATTGCTTCTGTATTGGTTGATCCTCCTTACAGGCTGTAAACAACTTGAGGGCAATGGCTGAACCTGTAATCTCTGTAACCCAGGGCCTGGCTCAGTTACTACAAATGAGTGCTTGGCAAACTGAAGGACCTCCATAACTGTCAAAAGAATGCTTAATTAGTTCACACTTAATTTCATCATTGTTGTTGTTGTTGTTATGTGCCTTCAAGTCTGCCCCGACTCATAGCGACCCCGCCTTGGGTTTCTGAGGCAGTATCACTACGGAAGTAGGATTGCCCAACCTTCCTTCCGAAGAGTGGCTGGTGGGTTTGAACCGCCAGCCTTCTGGTTAGCAGTCAAGTGCTTTAGCCACTATGCTACCAGAGCTCCTCCCGAATTTTTAGCACCATTTAAATTTTTTTTATTCCTTCCTCAAATCCTTTGTCTTCCTCTTTGTCACATAATTTTGTTTCAGTTTACACATTCATGCTCATCCTCTATAATTCTGGTTTTATTGTCTGTCTTCACCTTTACACTGTAAGCAGCATGCAGGTAGGGTCTCTTCCTCCCATGTTCACTCCTACATTCCTGAGACTTAGCATAGTGCCTGTGACTGAAGAGGTATTTAGTTAATAGTTACAAAATGAATATCTTTTTATAAGGTGCATCCATTTCATATAGAAAGCTCTTTCTCTACATAGTAAATCTCTTTTCTTGTACACCTGCATTTTCATTGTGCCAGAGAAGAACAAACCACGTTTAAATGCCCTGTACTGATTTATTTATGTGCTTTTATTGAAATTATTATCACAGGTGGTGGGATTCCATCAGCCAGGTAGTATCCGAATTGCTACAACTCCTGTGAGAGTAGACGAATTTAAATATCAAATGACTCGGACTGGTTGGCATGCAATCGAACAGTATATTATTGAACCAGAGAAAATTCGAGAGATGTTCCCTTTACTCAACATGAACAAGGTATTTATCTTAAGGGTATTTTCACCAGTTGTTGACTTGAATTAAAATTACAAAATGTTATTTTAAAAAGTTAATTAAAATTAGAAAAACATTACACACACACTTCAGATAGCAAAATCAGATGAATAATGAATTTGGGTGAATTAGAAGGTTGGCTAGTCTCTGAAGGGGGCAAACAGTTACTGCATTCACTGCTAACTGACAGGTTGGTGGTTTCAAGTCCACCCATAGGCACTGCAGAAGAAAGCCCTGGTGATCTTCCAAAAAATCAGCCATTGAAATTCCTATGGAGCACAGTTCTATTCTGACACACATGGCATCATCAGGAGTCAGAATCTACTCAATGGTGTCTGGTTAGAAAGTGAGTTATCATGTATACTAAATGAAATATAAAAAGAATACAAAGTCTTACTTGTTCTTCACCTATAGCAACTGAGGAAATATTTTCAATACTTTTTATTACTGTGCCCCCAGTTCTAAGGGTTTCTATAAACGTGTTTGAGAGCTACTGACAGAAAGATGACCTAGTATGAGAAGGATGTGGGGCAGCAGCATCTGACGCCATGTAACTTCATGAGGGGAGAAAGATTAAACATCAACAGCTCAAGACTGATTTCTGTGAGGTGGAGACCAGACATACTGCCACCCTCCAGCTGTTTTTTTCTTTTCTTTCTTTTTTTAACCAATTCTGACCTGAATCATCCTCCCATGACTCTCACTACTTCTCTGCTGGGTTCAATAATTCATTGCAATGGCTGCACAGAACTCACACACAATACTCATGATTTTAGGGTTTATTAGGGAAGTAACAGGTTACAATTCAGGTTCAGGAACACTCAGGATAATTTTTTTGATCAGGAGACCTTCTCAGTTATGCCACAGGCACAGTTCCCTCTGGCCTTGGCCTCTGCATTGCTCATGCCGGTGTTACAAAGCTCTTTTAGCTCTGCTGAATAGGTGTGCAGAGAGGCACCCCACTCCACCAGCAAGACTCCTGCATGAAAGCACGCAGCTTTCTTGCTCCATGGGCCAGGCAGCCCACCACTCCATCTCACACAGGTCTCTTGGTTCTGTTTGGTCAGCTTCTACCATCTCTCACCATCTCTCTGCCATCTCTGCACAGGAATCTAGGGTCCAAGGACACACTCCACTCCTGGCTCTTCCTTCTTTCTTTAATTTTACCTACCTAACAATTCCCCCTCCACCCCCAGCTCTTTCTTGATGATAGTGTGATCCCCCTTTCTGTCTCTGGGAAGGCTCATTTTAAGTCTTGCAGGGTGGCATAACTACCAATTCCCAAATTAGGATTCCATACACCTTACTTGCATGTTCCTACCCCCGTAAGGGTGCCATGTACTTTATTTACGTTATTAGTAAGCTGTTCAGGCCTCTGGGTGGGCTTCAAACACCTCATATGGCATAACCCCACCCACTCATCTGGTGAGGGTCACAAAGACCATGGCTAGAAGAGCCATGTTAAGTAATTCACTGCACCACACACCTGGTATGATAAATGTGTATATAGAAAGACTGTATTACTAAAGTGTTTTTTAAATCAGATTAAGAAGTGCCATGCTATTTTGCTATGCAATTATCCCCTGAACTCATAGCTGTACTTCCCTAACAGACTCTACGCTGATGTGGGTCCAGACTTACATCATATTTGGCTGAGAGAATCCACTCCACAGGAATTTAGTGCTTCTTCCTGTTGGGTGATAATCTCTTTTGAATAATAAGAATAATGACTAACATTTGTTGTTGTTGTTATTAGGTGTTTTTGTTAGGTGCTGCCAAGTCAGCTCTGATTCATACTGACCCTATGTACAACAGAACAAAACACTGCCTGGTCCTGCACCATCCTAGCTACTGTTGCTATGCTTCAGGCCATCATTGCAGCTGCTGTGTCACTCCGTCTCATTGAGGGCCTTCCTCTTCTTCACTGACACTCTACTTTACCAAGCATGATATCCTTCTCTAGGAAGTTCATGTCTGCTACTAGCAAAGATAGGCTTATATCTGTTTATATGTCAATCTTGGAGTGCTTTGTTGAGAGCCCTCACCATCAAGGATTTTTCTGAAGAGCAGTAGGCAATAGGAAATATGTGTGGAAGTTCTCTGGGTCTGGGGGTTCCAAATCAAATAAATACAAGAGCACTGCAATGAGTACATACCCATTTATAAAATACCAATGAGCTATTTGGAAATCTTCAGTAATGTGAATTCTAATAAAATCCAAAGTCCTTTGCACTAGACCTATATCAAGTAAAGAGATTGAATTAGTAATTTAAAAAATTTCCACAAAGGAAAATCCAGGCCCAGAAGGGTTAACTGGTGAATTATATCAAGCATCTAAAGAAAAATTAATACAAATTCTTCACGAACTCTTCGAGAAATGGAATATAAGTGAATACTTCCTAACCCATTCTATGAGGCCAGTATTGCCTTGATACCAAAACCAGACACATCTCAAGAAAGAAAACTGTAGACCAATATTCCTATGACTATAGATGCAAAAACCCTCAACAAAATACTTGTTGTTGTTGTTGTTATGTGCCGTCGAGTCGGCCCCGACTCATAGCGACCCCTCCTTGGGTTTCCGAGGCAGTATCACTACGGAAGTA